GTTATGGTTCCAAAAGTGTATAGTATCATTTTCGTTATCAAATGCCTTAATGATTACCTACAATCAGCATCGTGTCGCCACTCGAACTTGTCCCAGGAAAAAAAAATTTAAGACCCCTCCAATCATAAAGCCTCGTTATGTTTCTCGCATCAGCAAAAATTACTTAATTAACAAATGAAAAATATAGAGGAAGATATTTATTATTTTTTGTTGGGAATGTAATTGATGTGCTTTTATTTTTATGTAACCTTTCGCAATTTCCATCAATTTGAAGTTGCCTCGATTGGTCAAGCAGCTTATTAGTACCATCCATATATATTGTGGTCTAGTGCAAGGTGAAAGTGATGCACCGCCCAAAATAGTAATATAGCAACATCAATCTTTTGCATGCATCCTACTTTTGATTATTTTATCTTTATGAGATGTGCTCAATCGTCGTAATACAAATATGAAAGTTCTTTATCTCTTTGCCTTTCTCTTTTCAATAATTATATTCCTCTATTTTACAGTGTGTTCCAAATCCCTAAACCCGCTTATTAAAGTGTACACTGTTGTATAAAGCAAATAATTGTAGGGCTTTAAGGACAAATCAATGTTCAAATGTAGAATGAATTTAAGAAATGTGTGTGTGTCCCACTAATTGCTTGTTTGGACTAGGATCAAGTTCGGGATAGAAAAAAATATAAAAAGGAGGCTAGCGCGGAGAACCTAGCTAGCTTAATAATGAGTTAATGACTGAACAATTTGGTGTAGCTAGCTTTACAATTATTATTTTCCTTTAACTTCTTCCTTTTTGTCCTTTCAAACTTTGACCTTTAGTCAAGCAATTTCGGGGGTTCAAAGTAAGATGGTATCAATCCATGAACTTTGTAGCTGCTTGGCACTAAGTAAATACATTATTTACAGTAACATTTCAGCAATGACTAATGAGTGACCCCAAGGCCAGTCATATATAGGTCTCGTTGATTACCATTAGGTCACTAGTGCTTATTATTATTATTATTATGATTATTATTAATAAATCTTTATGACAAATAAAGAGAATTAAAGAGGGCAGAATATGCACCACCTTTACATCGGATCAAGTTGGAAACCAGTTCACCAAGACCACCGGATATGGTTGTCACAATTCAAAACATCAAAATGAATTAAGTTCTCTTATTGGACGTGGGCCACAAGATAGGAACCTTTCTTTAAGTTGATAATAGGATATGACCCTTGAAAGTGAAACGAGTACTGACCTCACCTCACCAGGCCTTTATGTGCCCACTCTTTTGCTCGCAGAATTCTGGAAAGTTTTCCTCTCTTCAAATTAAAAATATAAAGTAAAGAAAAGTTAAGGAACAGATGTGAGATTATACAATATGTCTTCACAAATCTCACGAACTTTAGAGATATTATGTTTATAGCATACATGCACGAACAACTTAAAAAATTAATTACAATCTTAATATCAATGGGAGTATACTACTACTACATGCAGCCAAATCAACTCTGTCTATAGCTATATATTAAATATATTTGGGTAGAATACTCCCTATAAACATAATGACTTGGGTCTAATATCTTTCAGTCCTATAATATTGTTATGGTGTACTTAGGTAGAATTGTTTTTTCAAAAATCATCCTATGCAGCACGCAAGTTGGTTAAAAAAATAAAAATAAAATTGTTGACAAAGTCTTTATCATATTAAAAAAATTATTTTTATTTTTAAATAATTAAACGTACTTAAAAGAATATATTTGATTCCTTTTAACTTATATAATTGGTAAATAAGGGTTATGCTTGATCAAAATAACTAAGAAACTGGAAAACTAATTTTTACTTAAAATTATTAGTTGAAAAATGAAAGTCGTTTAGCTAACTTATTGATTTAAAAATGTTTAGTAAAGTTAGTTGTTAAACTAAATAATAAATATGAACTGACATAAAAGTTTTTGTTACTATATACTTTTTATATAGATTCTATTTTTATGTTTTAGATATAATTTTTTTTTGAAATTAGTACAGTTTTAAGTACTTTTGATAATTTTAAATTCTTATAATTTTTATCTAGAAATCAAACATTTTCTTCAATAAAATAACCAGTGTGAACAACGTAATAATTTAAAAAGATAGTGTAATATGAAAGACAAAATTTTTCACAAGAAATAATATTTTAATTGGGACAAAAACATTTACAATATGATAAAATTAGCTCTTTACACAGCTTTTTTATACATTAAACTCAAATAGAAGATCTTACTTAATAAAAATTAAACATATACTACTTAAACTAATCACACATATTGACATATTGAATTTATTTGGTTTCTCATTTCAATTAACTTATATTTACTTAATTAAAATAAAAATATTTAATAAAACTTCTTTCTCTTCTCCCCCTTGCCCCTTCTTTTCTACTCCTCTCTTGTCTTTATTAATGAATTAATTAATTAATTTTTCATTATTTGATCAACGCAAAACATCAAGATGGGCATTTCATTGCGTGGCTAGAGCAACTTTTTGGCTTTTATTATATTTTTTCATTTTGATTTATTGGGATGAATATAAACAAGGACAACCCAGCACTGAAGTAGCACTTGGTAGGGAAAGAAAAAGGGTAAGGAATAGCGAGGAAGGGAGGGAATGGCTCACATTCAATAATTCATTATTCAATTTGAACCCAAAAAGTAAGATTAAGATAGACAGTGCACTTGGTTCGTAGTTGGTTAGTCCATCATCTTCATTGTCTGGGACAAATCACTCTTTTTGTTCCTATGCATATTCTTATGTCCTGACCCCCACATTCAAAGATTCAGTTTGTCCTTCGCTTAAAAATATCGTTTAGTACCTAATTCAGGTCCTTGTTTATCGCGCGACTCGAGCCATCGCTTTAAGGAGGAAAAAAAAAAGTATCCAATCACACACTACATTTTGGAATTTTCTCACATACATCTGATCCTAGTTATCATTGAATAATAATAGTAATGTCCACGCAAGTTGGAACCCATCCCATCTTCTGAACCAAAGTAGTTAACCATCATTCTCGTTGGCATTAAATAATATGCCTTGATATAAGGCATTGCTGTTGCTTTTTTTCTTCTTATCTTTATGAAATTTTTCTAAAATATGAAAGGTTATATTTATTTTTGAAGTACTCTCTGTTAAGAACTCGATACACTTTAAATTAAAGTAACAATAAATGTTATTACTTTAGTACTTCAAAATAAATTTTCTTTCAACGAAAAATAAAAAATCGCCTTGAAAAATCATGCCATTTAGATCCCTGTCAGTGGAGCGGTGCAAGCATTGAATAATCGTCGAAAACCATTCCCCAAAAGGTAGATTTGGGCCCCGAAACACTTTAGGACTAATCCAAATTTGGAGTGATTTTGTGAATTTGTGCTCTTTTATGGAACTGGAATAATAACCCATAACCTTGAATTCCATCGATCTAACTTGGGCTATGATGAAATAAAATGTCCATAATCATTTGGGTCTGGCTACCTATGAAACTTCTATTACTGGTCCATTTTTTTTCATTAAAATATTTGCGTGCCTCTATGGTTTGGATCTTGAATATTTCGATTAAATAAAAAAAAGAAAAATTGGAAATCTCGTATTAGTTTTGTTTGTACATTTTACATTGTTCTAAAATTTTTATTTGTCACATATAAATAATAAATTGATCAAATATCTATTATTTTAGTGTGTTTTACGCGATAACTTATACTGCAAGAACATGAGAGAGCTGAATATGTGAGTAGTTTCTCTATTTTGAAAAATAAAACAATGTAATGAGACAATTTCTTATCCTCCATTTTTTATTCCTCTTCTCTTAGTGATAAAAAATTGTTAATAAGCAAACCCTTAATTTCAACTTGGTACTGCATGGCTGGCAGGGGCAAAATTCCAACTTGCATTTGGGGATCAAGTTTCCTCAGCATTCAATAGAGTATCGGAATCATGGCTTTCTGGGTTCAAATTTAAATAGTGCATTATTGAATTGGAGCATGAAATTATGCGCTATTCAATTTGTCCCCAAATAGCTAGATTAAGATAGACGGTGCACTTGGTTAGCAGTTGGTTAGTGCATCGTTTTATATTTTATTTTTGGGTATAAAACTACAAGTCTCTCGGGTGGCTCTTCAACGCCACTTTGGGAATGGTGGAAATTGATAGTTCTTGTGCCTATCTTATCTCCATATTGAATGGAAAATCTAGTGCTTGTCATCTTGCGCTAGTGTTATGAAGAAAAAGAATGGCACGGTTAATGTTTTCGATAAAATACGGGACCGGCCTCAATCATTTATAAATTATTATAAACTTTCATTCCTTTTTGATAAATTTTAATGTTTATTTGGTGTGTCTCTTTTGTTTCCCTTCACTTATTATTATTACTATTTTTTATATGTATTTTTCTTTTGGGGTGTTTTTATGTTTTAATGGTCCAATGAAGTTCATTATTTTCTGACCAGCTCTTGAAATAATTTTCAATCAGGAATTAAAGATAGATAATCTTTCGAAACAATAATATATATATATATATATATATATATATATATATATATATATATATATATATATATGGTAAGGGGAGAAAAATCTTCAATTTATTTTGAAACTTCAGTTTAATTAGTTCTCTTTAAAAAATGATAAACTCCTGAAACAAAGGCTAGACGCATGGTTGAAATGTGGCCATTTACACCTCACAGTATCCCACCCATGATTAAGAGACTAAAGCCTCACGTCAATTCCTTGTGTTGTCAAATTCCTAACATAGAAACCAAACTGTCTTAACAAATTCCCTACTCCTACTCTTTAGGATCATCCATACATTCCATCTTCGAATTAGAGTATTTCCTACCTTTTCTCAACATTTTCACTAGCACATCTTCTTCTGCAAACTTCACTTTCAATCTATCTCTCTCCCGCTATGCAGTCTCACTTTCTTAATCTTCTTTAACAATTTGGAGCCATCTTAATTCCCCTCTGAACACAAGCACACCACATTCTTATGGCACTGTTTAAGTCACGTAACAATAGAAGGTCATCATCACCGTCTTACGTACCAACCTTGACTATATTAGTATTTATTGCACTATGTGTTTTCGGTGTATGGATGCTAAATTCCAACTCTGTAGTATCACCTCAAACAAACAATGATGAAGACACCGCAACCCGAATGGCCATTGATACCTCAACGACCACCAATGATGATCTCCCTTCCTCCGAAGATTCCCATGAAACCACAACCAAAATCGAAGAAGTCCAAAAGGACACTCCTGCTGCTGTTTTTGGAGACAATCCTGGTCATCTTCCAGATGATGCCATTAAATCTGATGATAAAAATCCCGACAATGATCCACAAAAGCAGCAAAGTGCCAGCAGTGAATCACAGTTATCAGAGGAAAGCTCGTTAACTCAAAAAGAACAGGCCTCCGTGATACACGAAGCAGGTTCAGATAGTGATGTGAAAATTGTTGAGTCTGAGAAAGCTCAACAAAGTAGCACTGAAGCTTCTTCTGATGGAAACAAAAAGGATGAAGAAGAGAATGCCACCGAATCTCAGGATGGAAATGCAACTGAAAATCAAGAACAAAGCGCGGGCCAACAACAAGAAGTTCAAAGTTTTGACACTCAAGTGTCTAAAACTGACGAAGATGAAGCAAACAAAGAACAATTGAGAGAAGACAAGGGCGATGTTGCGATCACAAAGAAAGATGAAAAGGTAATATCAAATGAAGAGCAACAAGACCAGCCAGATGCATCACAACAGGATTCCGAGGTAGCTTTAAAGGGAGAAAGCGCTCAGCTCTCTCAGAAAGGGTCAGAGAAAAACGAAAACCTCAAGGTACAAGATGAGGGTGGAGAAACACAGAAGCCAAAAGCAGACAAGAAAGGTGGCAAGTGGTCAACACAAGCAGCTCAGTCACAGAAGGAAAACAAGAGACAGAAGGATGAATCAGGCAGCGATGGGAAGCTACAAGATTTCACCTGGTATCTCTGTAATGTCACTGCAGGTGCTGATTATATACCATGTTTGGACAATGAAAAGGCTTTGAAACAGTTACGTAGCACAAAACACTATGAACACAGGGAAAGGCATTGTCCTGAGGAAGGACCTACTTGCCTAGTGCCAATTCCCACAGGTTACAAAACACCCGTCGAGTGGCCTGGCAGTAGAGATAAGGTGATTTTGATTCAAAGATACATCTAACACATTTAATAGGGCCTTTTATAAATCTTCGAATATTTATTTATTTATTTTTACTTTTTGTGTTTCAAAACAGATATGGTACCACAACGTACCACACACGAAGCTGGCACAGGTGAAGGGACACCAGAACTGGGTGAAGGTCAGTGGTGAGTTCTTGACATTCCCTGGAGGTGGCACCCAGTTCATTCACGGAGCTCTTCACTATATTGATTTTGTTCAACAGGTGATCGCGTCTATAATTTCTTACATATTCCATTTGTTAAAACTTAACACCCAGCAACAACATTATTTAAGCATTTGGGATTCATACATAGGCTAGAATCTGAAATTCATACTGATAATCTTAACTTGTACTAAGTTTTTTTATAATTTCAATCGTGCAGGCTGAACCTAGTATTGCATGGGGAAAGCACACCCGGGTGATCTTGGATGTTGGGTGTGGGGTTGGCAGTTTTGGAGGTTTCCTTTTTGAAAGAGATGTTATTGCAATGTCTTTTGCACCCAAAGATGAACATGAAGCACAAGTGCAATTTGCCCTTGAGAGAGGGATTCCTGCCATATCTGCTGTTATGGGCTCTCAAAGGCTGCCATTCCCCAGTCGCGTCTTTGATCTCATACATTGTGCACGTTGTCGAGTACCTTGGCATGTGGATGGTTGGTCTTACTAACACTTTTCTGGAACTTGGATTTGTCACGTCATATTGATTGTTCATAACGGCTCAGTTTTGCATTAATCATGGTCATTGCTGAGAGATGTGAAACTTTTTTCTAGGTGGCATGTTGCTTTTGGAATTGAATCGGGTTTTGCGACCAGGTGGTTATTTTGTTTGGTCGGCTACTCCTGTGTACCAGAAGCTTGAAGAAGATGTCCAGATATGGAAGGGTAGGTAACATATCAAATCATTGTAATTGAGATGATAATAACTCAGCAATTTTAAAGCCACTGACATTTTGTAATTTTCTTCAAGAAATGACCTCCCTAACGAAGGCAATTTGTTGGGAGCTTGTGACTATCAGCAAGGATGAACTGAATCATGCTGGTGCCGCCATTTACCGCAAGCCCACTTCAAATGAATGCTACGAGCAAAGGGAGCAAAATCAGCCTCCAATGTGTCAGGATGACGATGATCCGAATGCTGCCTGGTAAATCTCTATTACTGGAACATGGCGTTTTGACATGTTTTGTGTAATTGATTTGAGCAGTAAAATACGTAACAACACTTCTAATTTCCATTGGCCAAATATATTATATTTCAGGTATGTACCTCTGCAATCATGCATACACAGGGTGCCGGTAAACAAGGCTGAGAGAGGAGCCATATGGCCTGCAGCTTGGCCTCGTCGACTACAGAAAGCCCCGTATTGGTTAAACAAGTCGCAGATTGGGATCTATGGAAAAGCAGCTCCTCAAGATTTTGCAGCAGACAATGAACGTTGGAAAAACGTTGTGGACGAGTTGACCAACATTGGTATAACTTGGTCTAACGTGAGAAATGTCATGGACATGCGAGCTGTTTATGGGGGGTATTGATTCAACTTTGGCTACAACTACTATACATTTTTTTTAATATGTGATACTCAGTCTTAGTCACGTGAGTGCAGATTTGCAGCAGCTCTGAGGGATCTTCCTGTTTGGGTATTCAATGTGGTGAACATAGATGCTCCGGACACACTTCCCATCATCTATGAGAGGGGTCTTTTTGGGATATACCATGATTGGTGTGAATCCTTCAGCACATATCCTCGAACTTATGATCTACTCCATGCAGATAATCTTTTCTCAAAGCTAAAAGAAAGGTATGGATGGAAGTAGTGTGATCCTTCAACATTTTTCACCCGTACACCCATACTAGAGATATTGCTCTTGCATCATGTTGATCCAGTTTTGTTGTTTGGCTCCTCAGGTGCAAACTTCTTGTTGTTATGGCAGAGGTGGATAGAATAATCAGACCGGGAGGTAAATTGATTGTCCGTGATGAATCTAGCACCCTCAGCGAAGTGGAAGCTTTGTTAAAATCTATACATTGGGAAATAATCTTCAACAAAAAAGAAGAGGGTATGCTATGTGCAAAGAGAGGCAATTGGAGGCCTGACTCAGTAGCTTCGTCCTGATAGTGAACTCAACAGTACAACATAGTGGTTTATTTTCAGACAAAACTGTGCAGTGGCAGTAACGTGTATCTGCCCTCTCATTCACCTATGGCACAACAGTTGTCCGGAAAAAACGTTACCCTGTTATTTTATTGATTTTAATTCCATGTGTATCTCAGTTTTCATATTAATTGCCCCGAGATACATATCACATACGACGGAACCTGTCATAGATGATACCCTTACCAGCAGATATAGATTTTTAGTTGTCAATATAACCTGTCTTGTTATTCTGTTCGGTGCTTACATTCAGAAGTAGTAAATTCCAACTTCATTAAATTATTCAAAACAGAACTATTCGGTTGAATAGCAGTTCATAGGAGTGTAAGACAGGGCATTTCGATCTTGGTTCATTCAAAGCCCTCTAGTTTTCCTGGTGATCGAAAACAATATGCCTGACTTCATGATGTCATCAGGCCATGATTTGAGATTGATTCAGCAAAACAATAAGCAGAGAGAAATATTAACTAAACTAACATACTGTGGTAGTGGGGGTATAAAATTATATTCCCTCTCCTCTATCTAAAAAGTTTTAGTAATTCTTATTATAAGTCATTTTGCAAGTATTTATTGTTATTTTCTTACTTGCCCGACGGTAAGAATCCAAATTAAAACTAACAAAAATAAATGTTGGTAGTTAGATCAAGTTCAATAGTATTAAATGGGGATAAAATTGATATGTCGAGAGATTCTTAGTGCATTTTTTCTTTTCACTCTAAAATTCGTAAGACACGAACCAGCACATTGAAAATGACAATTAATCAACAGTTAAACAAAAGAAAATCAATACTCCCAATTTTCTATGTGAATCCTAGCGGATCCGGAGTTGAATGACATGCAATTTCTATAAAGAATGCACGCTGTCGCCTAAATATCCAGAGAATAGTAGATGGTTGTGCTCATAAATCTCTAGTAGATAGTACATCATCAACTAGCACTTAGAAGTTTCTGCAATTCACCACTCTTAACAGCAGCTCTGAGATCTGAATTGCAAAAACAGCAAGACTAGTAGGTGAATAGAACTAACGTAATACGGAATAAAAAATATAGAGAATAAGAACAAATAACTAACCATCTGATCCACCAATATGCTTCCCATTCACAAACACTTGTGGCACTGTCTTTCTACCTATCAAATCCAGAAGAACACTCTGAATTTGATATCCATCATCTACAGGGGGAAAGGGAAAAAAATGAGTCACGTGATAAATTTGAAGAATGAAACCAAAGTTGGATAGGGATGATGAATATGAAATTGAAAACCTCGTAAATCGAGCTCCACCACAAACGGTTGCTCATTCAGTTCAGCAAGCATGCGTTTGGCGCGCAAACAATACCTACAAACAAACACGAAATAGAAAAGCAGTTAATAGCAAAACCCTAATACATGGAGGATGTTAAAGGTTAGATTAAACGAAGGAATGGGTTTAGAAGGGACGGACGGGCAATAGGATTTGGAGAAGACGGCGATTCGGTTGGAGTAGATGACGTTTTGAACGAAAGCAGAAACCGAATTAGAGGCTTCCACTGACAATGGTCCATTCCCTTTACCACTCAAAAACAGCAAAACAACTAACGTTACCGTCACCACTATACTCCACCGTGATCTCATCATCATTCTCTTTCTCTTTCTCCTCGTTGAGTTATTCCTCAACAAATTTCCGCGTTTCCCCGCGTTCAATATTCTTACATGGCCATCAAGTCATTTCGAGAAAGTCGTATAACGGAACTTGAACCCGTAGTCCATGGTGCATTTTTTTTTTTTCATTTTTATCTATTAAATCTTAACATTAGTATTTAGGATTAATTTTAAGTTGTAAATTTACTATTATATTAAAAATATAATTAATATTTTAATTTAAAATTTTTTTACCTTTAAATACTTAAAATACCATTAATGTTGAAATTTCCTTTATTTCTCCACTTTAATGTAACTGAAAAATTGTTCATCATATCGTCGGCCAAAATTTCCAATCTAAATTTATGGTGTTTTTTTTTTTTTTTTTTCCAGAAAATTATGGTGGTAATTTTTCATCGACAATTGTAAGGGCTATTTTATTTTAGAATAAGGCACGCAGAATTTAAACATTAATCTTTCAAAATTTAATCATTAATTTCTCACTTAAAAATATAAATTATTTAGTATTTTAATTATCACTCTTTTAATTTTAATGTTTAAGTTTAGGCTTTAATATTATTTTAATGTTTAAAATATAAGTTTAGTAATTTGTTTATCACAATGAAAGTTTTAAATAAAAGATTTTACGGTTTTTTTTTCTTCTAAAAGCCAATAATTTAAATAAACTTAATAAAAGATATGTAACCAATTGTATCTTTGAAAAGCAAATTATTTGAAGAAGTTAATGATAAACCAAAACTGATTCGACACAAAAATACTAGGTGGAAGAAAATATTCATTGGATTCATTGTTAATATTTTTAGGGATAGTTGCGTATACTTGTGGTTAGCGTTAAATACATTGAGACTTCATTTCTGAAACCGTACTTAAAAATAATTGACTTTTGAGTCAGTTTACTCATCAAATTGCATAGATAAATATTTTTAAATCATTCGTGGAAAATTAAAAAAAAAAATGATATCTTTTTCTAAAACATATTAAAGTCAAGTTAAGGAAATTCGAAGCTAATCCCTAATACTAATTGGAAAATATCATAAAAAATTTCAACAGTGGAGTATGAAAATAGGCATACTAGAATATTAATATGTGTTATATGTCCACTATATTTTTAGCAAATAAATAAAAAAGAATGGTAATATGCCTCATATTTCTTAAAGGGTTCATATATTGTTCCAATGGAATTCATTGTTAAGCACCAATGTTCAAGAGCCTTGTTCACGACCTTGGCGTCGTTTTTTTGGTCTAGAAAGTCTTGATGAATGCCCAACAAGTTTCACATGAAATATTTTCATTTTTGGTCTAGAAAACGTGTTTGGAAACATATTTTTATTTCCATAATTTTGTTAAATGAATGTAAACGTATTTTAATTATTATGTTAGCATATTTAATTGATTAGAATTAAAATGGATTTTATCACTAAATTTACATTTAAACTATTTTAATAAACTATAGCTTTATGTTCAGTCGAGTTAATATTTTATATTAAAACTTTCGATATTTTTTTTTTAAATTCTATAAAATAGATTATTTTAATAATACTTTCAAATAAAATTATTTTTATAAAATCAATTTTTTCATATTTAAATTTACGTACAAAAGTCTAAAACTTTAAAAGTATTATGTCGACCAAAAGGGGAAAAAAATGGTAAACCACCTGTCCAGGTTGTAATTGGTAGAGAAGATTTTTATAGCGCAATTGTATTTTTTTTATAATTTATTTATTTATTTTCTTGGTATTTTGCAAATAAAAATATTAAATAAAATAAATAAATTTAATATTTTAGAAATACAAAAGATATCTAGGGCTTGTTTAATTTTTTTTAGTTTTAAAAATTATATTTTTAAATAATTTGAAATTTTTTTAAAAAATAAAAATAAAAGTTATGTCAACAAATAAATTTTTTATTTAAAAATTTATTTTTAAAAATAGAAAACAAACAAGTTCTTAATTTTTTATTGAATAAAAAAGTTAACATGATAATTAATAAAAGACATTTTTTTATAAACATTAAAAAGATAAATAAAATATTGTAAGAAGATATTATATAGGTTTGATTTGCTTATAATGGATGTAAGCTCAGGGAGTTTACGTTGAAGAGGAAACCGCGTAGGAGCCCTAGTGGGCCTCAATTGAATGCTAACGCGCAGTGTTAATTGACTCAGAGGTGACCTACCGCACTAGTAAGAAAACGTTTTATTAATATTTACCCTGAGGATAATAATTTTAAAAAAAATTAACAAATGACTTTTTTAATAGAAAATACAACAAAGTATATTAATAATATTACACGTTATATTTTTTAATATAATATTTTTAATACCTTAAAGTATAGTAAATGTTTATACTCTCATAATAAATAATTTTTAATTTTTCATAATTTTTGTTTTAAAGTAAAGACTACCAAGTATGAAATTTTGTACCACTATGTTAATTTTTTGGTTTTATTTTTTTATGATTTTTTATTTGATAATTTTTTATTTTAAACTATTTTTTATTTTAAACTATGTCAAAACAAAAGTTGTGTTTTTATCTCGCTTAAACGTAAAAATACATGAGAAACGTTGCGAACTAGGTTTGCATTAGCAAACATCAGAAGTAGTTAATATGGCTCTTATTCAACCTTTTATTTAATTTCTCCAACATTTCCTCTTGTTGTTGTTAATTAGAAACAGTACAATACTAATTCTTTACTGTCACGCATAAATTTATTTATACCTATTAACGCTCATTTAATAAATAAATATTTCTTTTAATATTTATGCTTAGTCACACTTTGATTCGTTTTATTTGGATTGTGCACATCTTTTATCTCTTAATTTTTTTAACTAAATAAATTTAGTTTTATTACAATCGATTCTCCTTCCTCAAACTGTTGTATTTTTATTTTTACTCAATATTTTATTTTTACACAACTTCAATTCCTATAATTTTGTCTATAAAAAAAATCCTATAATTTTACTCTATAAAATTATATCAATTTTTAATTTAAAATATTTCATGTTTCAAATTCATCATAAAATATTTGAGTAAAAAATAATATTTTTTTTTTTTGTAATATAAAATAAAAAACAATACTAAATTTACTTAACGTTGAAATAAAAAAATTAATTGACTAAAAAACTGAAAGACTAAAATTATATTCAATCCTATCTAAAAATCCAAAATTACAATTAAGCTTAATTTTTAACAACGTTATATTACATGTACGTATTTATAATTGTTTATATCCCCGTAAAAAATGTCCTTAATCTAAAAAGTTGTTTCAATAACTAGTATATTCTTACGACATAGTTACGAAGAAGGACAATTAAAGAAAACATCCATGAAAGTAATGAATTTAAACATATAACACAATAATGTAATAATTAATGTGTATTTAAATTATGTATTTAAATTATTTTATCTGAAAAAAATCAAGATTTTTGAAACAACTGTTTTAAAAATTTAATCTGTAAATTTTTGAACATTAACTTTTCTCAAACATTTTAATTTCAGACGAAAAGTAATGGTGAGTAAATACAAAAGTGAACTAATAAATCATAATATATACGTTTCATACACTTGATCTTTTACCGTACAATATTTTTATTGTTAAAAAAACGTTAAACAGACCAACGAATTGAATTTGCAACATGTTAAGTAACAAGATATCGTAGCATTAAATCCATAAGAATATGTCTTTTTATATTTATCACGATTGGATACAAGATCTATTAATTATATTTAATAAAATTTATATTTTTCAATTTTTTAAATATTATATCTTACTTAATAAAAAATTATATCAAATTGTTGATATTAAACAGTCAATTCAAAACTTACTTTAAATGAAAGAAATTATTTTTGCGCGTTGTTTTATGCATTGAAAGATACAGAAAGAGAGCGAAATATAACATAAAATAGTTCATATAATAAGAGAGCAGAGAGATAAAAATATTATATAAATAATATAATTCTTTAATAGATGGATGTTCGGGTAAATTAACCCTATTTTTTTCTTCACGTTGACAATTACAATTAAAACTGACAATATAAACCATCCAATCATTAATCGGTCATAACTCAAGTTAAGTGAGCTCAATTTTTTGTTTTTGTTTTTTAAGTGAGCTTAATTTTAAACCATAAAATATAACTAAAATGTATATTAAAATTGATATTTTTTAAATTTGTATTAAAATATAAAATATTGTTAATTTTAATCTTAATAATTGGATTTAAACATTTAAAATATTATATTTTTATTAAAAAATATATTTGTTACATTAAGATCATAAAAATATAATAAATAATTGTTTTTAAAATATAATTATTTATTCTTTATATTTAACTTTAAGAACTAAAATTAACAATATTTCAAAACATACAAGTTTATAAAAGATAATTAGTTTTCTAATAATAAAATAAACAGAGACTTAACTCTCAGTATCATTATCTAAATAATATTTATATTTATTTTTCACTCACGCTCTTTTCTATTTATGTCAACTATATATATATATCCATCTCTCTCAATTGATTTTCTTCACGAAGATAAGAAGTACTTGAGTCTGTGAGGCAAGAGGTTAAACGCCAATTGTTCCTCATTTGTTAGTCAAAGTTGTAGGAAAAACAAGACAGAAAGAGAGAGTGGCGCTTCTCTTGAGTCTTGATTGAAGGAAGCTTCTCATCACCACACATAAAGCAATTGGAACCACACCTTCCATTCCTACTCCTCCTGTTTTTGGGAGAAGTAGAAAAAACCATAACAGGAGAGAATGGCTGAGGTTGCAGTGTCCACGGTTGTTACGGAGCTATCAGAATTGCTTGTGGAACAAGCTGCGGCGGCGGTTTCACAATTGGCAGCGGTAAGAGGGCAAGTTGAGAGTTTAAAGAACGAATTAGAATGGATGCAGTGCTTTCTGAAGGACGCAGATGCCAAAGCCGAACAAGAAGGCAACGAACGTGTTCGTTTGTGGGTGTCCGATATCAGAGACGTGGCATTCGAAGCAGAGGAGCTTATAGAATCCTACGTGTACAAGGCAACCACGCAAAGCAGGTTGGACAGAGTGTTCAGACCCTTTCATCTCTGCAGGGTTGGTACCAAAATCCACAAAATCCAGTCTAAGATAAAGAACATATCGGACAGGCGTGAAGCATACGGCGTCGTAATGTCCCATGATGTTGCCAACAGCAGCAATGAAAGGTTGAGGCACTGGAGACAGCTTTCGCCTTATTCTGAAGAAGATTATGTTATTGAGCTTGAAGATGACATTGGGTTACTCCTTACCCAGTTGCTTGCCGTGGAGCCCACGCCTCATGTGGTTTCTATAGTGGGTATGGGTGGTTTGGGGAAAACAACTTTGGCCAATAAACTCTACAATCACGCCAAAATAAACAACCATTTTGAGTGCAAAGCATGGGTTTATGTGTCCAAAGAGTATAGGAGGAGGGACGTTTTGCTAAAGATTCTCAAGGATGTGACGGTGGATGTTCTAACCAGAGATGAAACTGATAGACTGGAGAGAATTCATGAGGAAGAGCTGGTGAACAAGCTGCGCCAGGTGTTGGATGAGAAAAGGTATTTGGTGGTGCTTGATGATGTTTGGGGGATGGAGGTTTGGGATAGCTTGAAATCTGCTTTTCCCAGAAGGAAGATGGGAAGTAAAATACTGCTCACAACAAGGAACTGGGACGTTGCTTTGCATGCTGATGCTTGTAGCAATCCTCATCAGCTACGGCCATTGACTGATGATGAGAGTTTTAGATTGCTACGCAACAAAGCATTCCCTGGAGCAGATAGAGTCCCCTTTGAGTTGGAGAGTCTTGCAAAGGAGATTGTGGTGAAATGTGGAGGTTTGCCTTTGGCTGTGGTGGTGGTTGGTGGTTTGCTGTCTAGGAAACTCAAGTCAAGTGGGGAATGGAAAAGGGTGCTGCAAAATATCAGCTGGCATTTGCTAGAAGAGCAAGAGAAGATAGCTAGAATTTTGGCCTTAAGCTACAATGATTTGTCTCCTCACTTGAAATCATGCTTTCTATATTTGGGTCTTTTCCCAGAGGGCATGAACATTCAGACAAAAAAATTGATCAGGTTGTGGGTTGCGGAAGGGTTTCTACCACAAGAAGGGGAAGAAACTCCAGAAGGTGTTGCTGAGAAATATTTGAATGAGTTGATTGGAAGGTGCATGATTCAAGTGGGAACAGTAGGCTCATTAGGCAGAGTGAAGACAATTCGCATCCACGATCTTCTTAGAGATCTTTCAGTCTCTAAAGGAAAAGAGGAGTATTTTTTCAAGATATTTCAAGGTGAAATGGCAGGCCCATCAACATCTCAGCCAACAAAAGCCCGGCGCCATTCAATACATTCTTGCCATGACCGGTATGATTTCTTGAAACACAATGCTGATCATTCCCGTTCCCTGTTGTTCTTCAATAGAGAATATAATGAAGATATAGCAAGTAGAACATGGCTTCATTTGAAATTTCTGGAGGAAAAGAAATTGAATTTTATCTTCAGGAAATTTAAGCTACTGAGGGTACTAGAATTAGATGGTGTTCGGGTAGTTAGCCTGCCAAGCACCATAGGGGACTTGATTCAATTAAGGTATCTGGGATTGAGGAAGACTAATCTAGAAGGAAAACTTCCACTTTCCATTGGAAATTTGCTAAACCTACAGACACTTGATTTAAGGTATTGTTGTTTTCTGAAGAAAATACCAAACGTAATTTGGAAGATGGTGAACTTGAGACATTTGCTCCTGTACACACCATTTGATTCTCCAGACAGTCGCCATCTACGACTGGATACATTAACGAATCTACAAAGCCTACCACACATTGAGGCTGGAAACTGGATAGCAGATGGTGCTTTAGCAAATATGAGCAATCTCAGGCAACTAGGGATATATGAATTATCAGGACGAATGGTGAATGATGTACTTTCTACTGCACAAGGATTATGCAATCTTCATTCACTGTCACTATCACTTGAATCTGAAGAGGATGAATTTCCAATCTTTATGCAGCTGTCTCAGTGCACTAATCTTCAAAAGCTCTCTTTAAATGGCAAGATCACGAAGCTACCTGATCCACATGAGTTCCCACCGAACCTCTTAAAACTAACTCTACATAATTCCCACCTACAGAAGGAGTCTATTGCCAAATTGGAGAGATTACCAAATCTTAAAATGCTAGTTTTGGGTAGAGGGGCATACAGTTGGCCAGAACTGACATTCAATGCTGAAGGGTTTTCAAAATTGTATATTTTGAAACTTGTTCTTTTGAAAGAATTGGAAGAGTGGACCGTTGAGGAAAGTGCAATGCCAAGGCTTGAGCACATGGTTATTGATCGCTGTGAGAAGCTGAAAAAGGTTCCAGAAGGACTGAAAGCTGTTACTTCTCTGAAGAAAATAAAAATTATAGGAATGCCTGTCGAATTTGAACACAGGCTTCGGACTAAAGATTTGTTCGAGTTCACAAACACTCCATTAATTGAATCGACTACTGACATTTTGGCAATTGGTAAGCTATTTTGTTCAGTTCATCAATATAATACAAGATTTGCTATAAAATATGTTGTATGCAGAGACGTGAGTTAGGAAACTTACTTTCATTGTTGCATATGACACTGCAGATTAATTGCGGTACAATGTTGATGGGTAACACGTAACTTCATCTGTGGAATGGAAGCATTTTTCAATTTCTGGTGAGTGCCATCATATGTAGAACTTATGTAAGCAGTGCTGGGGTTTGGCAGAATGCAGCATTTCTCTCAGCTATGAAAAATTCAACAAACACCTTATGCTTACAAATTGATATCTCAGTCACACGTAAATAGCCATTATTTATTTAACCTATTCTGTACCTTATTCCATCATAACTTTTGCATCAACCTCGTTGTGGCACTTGCCAGCCCCTTTTCTATGTCAAATCCATTCTGTTTTGGCATTAATGGGTTATTCTGTTTTAATTTGACTCGAGCGGTGCATTTTAGAGGCAGAGTTATAACCTTTTATTATACATGTATTCTAAGTCAAATCTATTTGGTTTTGCTCCTTCGTTCATGGCTTTACCTCAGATTAAAACATAGCCTGAAAGAATAATCATATTTCATACTTCAAAAACAGGGTAACATCGATCTTTCTTTGCTTTGGCAATAGAATTAATTTCAAATAATTAACGTAAACAATTAATTTATATTTGAAAGTGAATTTTAACAATAGTTTTGTAATAATTGATTTATCCAAAAAGAGTGAACCCTAATAAAATGTATAATAAACAGTATTTAATGTTAGAGTATAAACAACTGAAATTTGGAGAAAAAGGATAAATTTTGAACAATCATATATCTTAATTAACATTGATAGGCAGGTTAAATGACATTCATAACATTTAAATTTTGTTTTATTTTTTCATGTATTTTAAAAATAAAATATAACTAAATATAGGATTCAAAAAGTGATATATTTTTATTTTTTTAAAAGGTAAAATTAAATAAAACATAATAAAACATTCTATTTTGCATGTCGAATCCAATTTTAAAGAGAAAGAAAGTCTGACAATAAATTATTGTTTTTTATTTTTATTATAGAGGAAAGATTATATAAATTTCATTTAAACTTCAAGACCTACATAAGTTAAAACTACTTCAAACTTTAAGAATGGACCTTAAAACATATAGTTACAACAAATTTTATTTAAACACACAACAATAGTGTCAAAAGTCGAAGTTTTTATGCAAGAAACACAAAGACCTAACCAATAGTTCCATCAACTGATCACAGGATAAATTAATTGACCCTCTCCTGTCTCTTAATGCAAATAAATAAATAAAATGTAGGTGCAATTTTCACGTGTGACATGACAATGATATTACTTAAGTGTTAATCTTTCTGCAATTCTTTCTTATCTCTCCCCTTGATCCTGTTAAAGGAGTAATGTTTCCCATCTTAATCATGGACTTGGCAAATTGTTCAAAGAAAAGATCGTTTCTTTCGGCATATTTCTTCACCAAATCTGCAGATACTTGATTCTTTGTTAAGAGAACTTCATCAGAATTTAATAAACCCTTGTTAGCCAATAAGTTCTTGTAATAGTAGTTGTCAAATTTTATTGGGGTGACAAAGTCCAAGACAAACAGATTCTGGTCTCCACCAGAACTTGGGCACCGAGTGCGCAATTGAGCAGCATAGTTTTGGTCAAGAGTAAAGTCTGCCTTTCCATTGCCAGTTTGGTTGTAGAGTCTTTGCCTGAAGCTCGTGCATCGTGAATCTCCTATTGTGTGGCTTCCTATAACATTACAAAATGAGTAAAATGGAAGCAATTCTCAAATATAGAATAAAAATTGAGATAATTTATGCTATATTTGGATTTACATTTGAAAGCATCAAAAGCACGTTTAAGTAGTTCAAACTGGATTTCACAGCAAAGCATCATGTTTGTATTTTGTCAAAATCAAGTTTGTTCTTAGAAGTCTATTTCCTTTGAAAGTGAAAAAAAAATGTAACCTTTATGTTGAGCTGAAAATTTCACACTACAGTTCTGATATAAATATACTTTTAACATAAAATTTCAAATATAAAACACTTCACTTCAAATTTATTTCAAACCAAAATTAATTTTATAAATCTAAAATTAAGTTTGCAAACACTAATTTTAAGTTCATCTAAAATAGTTTTTGTATTAAGATAACAATTTAATACTAAATTTTACTTTCAACTTACTTTTGAAATAAAAATATTCAAACATACGAATTACTTTGTTTGAAGCTCAACTTTAATTAACATCATAAAAATATTGTTTTCAAATACTCCATCAAACCCATCATATTTTAAAAGCCAAAGACCAGAAACAGACAAGTACCAGGAGTGTACCTGACAGGGCAACTAGATCAACAATGTCAAGCCCCTTAAGCTTGAACTTAGTTAGGATGGTCTGGAATGTGTTGTTGGGGGCAGGAATGTTGTAATTTGAGCCACTGATGCTTGCTCCTAGAGAGTCCCTTCTGCCCAAAGGTACTTCCCAGCTTGGTCCACCGGTCTGTAGAGATTATTAATCAGACATGATAACAAATCAAAGACTAATATAAGTTTAGGGTAATCGAGTGCAATCATAAAAAAAAAAAAGGAAATATTTACAAGAACAGTTGAATCCCTGGCCGCGAGAGCCAAAATATCAGCACAAGACACTGTATGTGGGCATGCTTTCTCTATTGCGGATTTAATTTCATCAATGACTTCAAATCCTCGAGCTGAATTACGGTTAGGATTTGACCTCTTCTCACTTATAATAGTTCCACTGCTATCTAGCAACACTGATGCATCACAACCCTGAAACATCAAACGTTGAGTCATGCATGCATTTGAACCATATAAAATCTCTAACATGCGCATCAACAAGGCTCATAAATTAGACAGTTTCGACTTACGACACTACTATAAATTTTGCATTTATATTAACAAGATCACGAAGTTGTGGGCACCTTGACAAAACAGTCATGGAAATGTAGTCTCAGCAACGAAGCAGCCATGCGGGGTTCTTTTTCAACAGCCTTGGAAACGATGGACTTAACAATTTCTTGGGCTCTGGGGCATGAATCATCGTAAAATTGTGGGTAGAGGTAACCTCCTATTTTTTTCCTACAGTGACAGAAGGGGGCAAAGGCTAGTAGAGACAGAAGCAGGAGGAAGTATATGGAATTGACCATTGTTATTCCTTTCAAGATCACTTGACTACACAAGAATTATAGAAGGGTAGTTGAAGAGGGGTTTTCAAACTGGATTGGATGAGCACCGTTATTGGGAATGATATTTATAGAGAAGAACATGGCAGAAAATTATTGCATGACAGGGAACGACTTGGAAAAAGCAGCTATGGAAGGAAAGAAAAAGTTGGAGTTGGTAGCTAACTAGTTTTCAAATCCACATAAAAGTTAAAGAGTGGTTAGCTCTTGATACTAGTTAAATCACTCAAATTTGCAGCATTACTAAGAAAATGGCTCGAGGGTCTAATTGCATACAAACATGCTTTTTGTTTGGCATAAAGCAAAAATACTTAATGTAGAACGGGGGTTAACCATCATTGTACCTGGTTATTTGGCATTATTATATCAAGGCCATTCAATGGATATGATAAGAAAGAATTGGATAATAATATTACATTGTAAAAATATGATAGAATAAATCTTTTTTATTATATTTTACTTTCTTATCACATTCATCAAAATAGTCTTTTAAAATTACATCTTAAAATAAAAGACAACCAAAGGTGTACACGCACGCAAAATTGTACACAACATTTTATAATCAGCATCAATTCCTTTCTTTTTGTTGTTTTTTAAGCACTGTCTTTTGCTTTTCGTGAGACAAAACAATGATTATGGTTAATCAATTATTACCTCCATTTTGAAACAATTGTCATTTAATAGTTTTTTATTCTAAATTAAGTGTAACGTGAAAATTGATTTTTTTTTATACTTTTTAACTTTCTCTTTCCCATACTTTTTTTAAGTATCCTATCCTAACAATTACAAAATTAAATTCTTATATTTTTTAATATTTGACATATTGAGAATATAGGATAGCCTTACTGTTATTCTGTTTCTAAATTTTAAGAAAATTTATTAATTTCATTAATTTTAAGATAATTTAGCCTTATGGTTATTTTTTTTTTCTAATTTATTAATTTCCTTCTAATGAAAGACACGGACTACATTAGTATACTTTCATTAGTACAACCTTAAGGCCTAAGACTGCCATTATTTCAATCAAACCAATCACAATTTTGATCCTTCGCGTAGTAAGCGAGTCTTGAGTTTAGAGGGCTTCTAGTCAACTACGACATTTATTTTCTTGTATCTTAATATGTGTTGGAAAACACGTTAAAAATTACATAAACATAATTTTAACGTAAAATTTAAAACTAATAATATTGAAATAGATGTAAGTCTTTCTACATCTTAACATAAAACTAAATATGCTATGGAGATTAAGGTGGCTAACCTGCTTCAGTTGACTTCATCGTAGGCGTGGCTCTTAAAACTGTTGACTTCAAGTTTCCTACCCAAAATGGTGTCTGCAGTGCCAGCTATAAGCACTGTTCATCGCGTTAAATTGATGTTCTGTCTTTCAAATGCAATTCTTCCATATATTTCCTTTGATTGAGATTTTGTCTTCCACATTTTTTTATTGGACAACGGTTTCCCCGGTTATATTATAAAACAAAAAAGACACTTTCATTCTGTGGACAGAATTGAAGGTAGATTATAATAATACAAAAAATGTTGGTATCCACTTTCAAAATTAAATTTAAGTATAATTTTATTTTTAAAAATAAAATATTTATTATATTTTTAATATAATAAAAATTTATTACTGTTTATCATATTTATATTCTTTCTCTCCTTTTATTTGTCATTCATTGTAATGACGCTACTGCCTGCTGTGCTTGACCTCTCGTGAGTTAATGTGAATAACTCTTTCACATAGAAACCTGTAACAACCTTAATTTAGACTTATAAGGGTATAAAGTGCTGTTGTTGATAAGGATTAAAAAGAAACAATGTTATTCTCTCTTATTTTTTAGCAACCTGTAACTTTTATATATTTATTTTTTCCATCGCTTCATTCATCAAGAACAATATTATTAAAAAAATATAAAGGGAACATTACTTGATTTTATGATGCAATGTAAGGAAGGAACAGGTATGGCTGGATACCTACTCTGTGCGCTTCTAGTAATCTAAAATCTTAAACTAAAGTTGTCTTCTCTTGATTCAACATTATATTCTTAGCATTACTTCTTTTCGTTTATTTATGAGTATATAGATATGCTTAGCTTTGATTCCAGGAAAACGACGACAACCTTGGAATATTATAGTAATTGAGTTAATAAAAATTAGGGCGATATAAACGGGTGGGATAGGATCACTTTACTTCTTCTTCTTCTCCTCTCTCTTTCTTTCTTTTTGGCAATTATTTTATTCTATATGATAAGATAACAATAAGTTCAGACATTTGGCATTGAGCTTTAAAGCTATAAAGATCATTTAGGATTATTACATTAAACTCCATGCAAACATTATTCAAACCAAAACCGTTAAGGTAAAGTTGCATGCTTTCAAGGGGTATTTGCTTTACCGTCAAGTCTTCCTGGCTCTTTCTTCGAGGCCCGAGGTACCCCTATCATCATAGGATTTCTCTGTCACGTGAAAAAGTTAGACTTAAACATATTTTTGGATTATATTAACAATTTACTTATCTATTAAAAAAATATTTAAATTAAACATTAATTACTAAATTTATTTATCCCATATTAATAATTTTTAAATCATTCAAATAATATAAATATTATATATGAATAAAAGTATATTAGTGAAAGAAGAAATAAAATATTTTTTTTTTTAAATTTTCAATAGAACTAAAAACAAGTCCAAATAAAAAAAAATAGTTTCTTTAGATAAATAAATAAAATATTTTTAGGAGACTTTAGTTTAAATTTATTAACTAGTATTTAAAAATTAGAGTTGATTTTTTTTTTGTGTGACAATTTTTTGCAATGTTAAACCAGTGATTAAGGTTATATTAACCTTTTGATTTATCATGTATTTATGTAAAAAGATTGGTTTTGATTTAAGTATGTTCTTGTAATTTTTTTAATTTTAATTTCTTAAAAAATGGTTTAGTTTCATTGTTTTAAAGCAACAACACTGTTAGTTAGTTACATCATTATTAAGAATAAAACTTTAATATAAATACATGATAAATCAACTCTAATTTTTAAATACTTCAATTATATTAATACTCAATTAACATTCTTTTTTCATCATCTTCTTCTTCTTTTTTATCACATTACCTCGCATATTATATTTATTATCTCTCTGCTATTATTCTGTGTTGGTGTAGGCACCTGAACCACATATTATTGGAGAACCGTTTAAGCCAGTGAATTTTCTTTCTCTGATGTGGGCTGTACACACTGGAGTATATTCAGTACTATTGGAGAGCTAAATAACAGTACTAATTGGAAGACCGTAAGTTAAGTTCATCTCAAATTAAAAATTTGTCTATAAACTAGAGGAGATGAGCCTGAAATAAATGTTTTGCACTTTAAATATCAGACGCTAATCATACTTACGTATTAAAAATTAAGAGTCGATTTGGTTTCTCTCTAGTTTTTTTTTTAATCTCGATACAAGAGATATTTGGAAGAGCTTATTAAAAAAATTAACTCATATTTTAAAATTATCTTTCGACCATTTTAAAGAATACTCTATTCCTAATTGACATAGAATATCTTAATGGAGCTTATAGAAATTTTTTTAAAATAATTTATTATTCGTACAGGTTTTTTAATATATTCTAACAAATTTATTGTGCATTTTTTCTTTCTTTGTGTAAAATATATTGTATACGTCATTTTTTTTTGGAGCTCGAGTTCAACACAATAAGGTCACCAAAGGATATATTACGTGCTTTTGAGTTTTAAATTTCTATTTTTTATTTTGGGTCAGAGTTTTAAAATTTCTAACCCAGCAGACATTCAGCCATGTCCTTACTAAATACAGATTGGTCGAGTTTATTAAATCCCAGGTTCATAAATAAAATAAAGGACGGGCTCAATCTCACGTTGGGCTTGAAAGTTTTGTTTTTCCATAAGTAAAAGAAAGAATGGGTTCACTAGCACATTGGGCTTGATGGATAGACCAGGGAATGAAAATAGTCTGACAAAAAAAAAAACACTATAAAAAGAGAGTCGTGTAGTTAGAAAAAATGGTACAAGAGAAAAAAACAACCATAAAATATCCTTTGTTTAGCTAAATGCATTAGCGTGCTTTTAAGAAAATGGAACTTGGTATTTTCCATGCTGCACTTTGGTTTAATAGTACTTTCGAGCAGTTCAATATAAGAGAAAATTGTAATAAATAATAATTCAGGGAATCGAGAAATCCGTTCGTCTTATTAATCAAACAAAAAAATCATGCCCCAATTTGATATTACTTATAATTTCTTTTGTACTTTTAGCTTCTATAATCATTATTGAATAGGTTAATGTTCTCAAGCAAATTATGGATCCCATCATTCACAAGTGATGTTGCAAAGAGAAAAGGCCCAGCAGTTGCTTCCCTCCGATAGAATCCGAAGCAAGAACTAAGAAGCCAAATCCTTCATGTCCCGTCAACAAAGGTGGAAAATATTCAATTATTTACATAAGCCACATTTATATTGATATTCATTTGTATATTTATATAAAACAGTGCTTCATTTTCACCATCTTGAACATTTAGGCATTTTGATTTTATTTTTTCTCGCTACTAATGCTCTTACTTTAGCCAAAACTTGGGAGCCTTTTTCGTGGGAGTTAGATTTTCATATGTATGTCAAATACTCTCTAATTTTTTTTTTCTAGATATTAATATCAATTGACACTGTAAGGACATAATAAGACTAGCTTTGCATGTCGTGCATAGCCCTATATGCATATATACTATACACAGAGAGCAAGTCCTATCCTAATAGAGACCAAAATTCTCATTAGTATAATTCATAATATTGAGCATATTCTTTTCTTCTTGTGGTATTGAAAATTTACTAGTTCGCATGTATGAACATTTATGTAAGTGGACATTTGGGAAGACTCCTGAAATGCAGAAAGTAAAAGGATATCCCTCGTACCTCTTGGGCATCCCCGAATTTGCACTTAAAAGAAGAACTGCATGCATCACAAAAGCAAAGCGTAAGGTAAAAAACCCTGTGAAGTACATAGCAAAGTTAAGGTAACAAAGTATATATTTTATTAGCGGTGTACGTACAAACTTCTTCTTCTTCTTCTTCTTCTTCTTTTCAACATAAGCAGAAAGCTCCTCTTGCTTGACAAGTGAATCCTCGAGAGCCTGACAAAGCATAACCGTTAACAAGACCCATCAGAACAGAATGAAAAAGACACAAAAACAATATGTATTCACCTTCTTGGTGGCCATAAGTTGTTTCTCCAAGTCATCGGCTCTACTTATAGTTGCATTCAGCATTTCCTCCTTATCCGCTGGCATGATAGGAGGCTGATGCTTCAGGTTGACCATTTTCTCTTCCAACTCAGCCATGCGTTTCATCACAGTCGCAAACTCTGTACAGAAGAGGGCAATCACTAACAATAATAATAATAAAACAGCACATATTTAGGATGAATTAATTATTGACATAGCATAAAGTAGAATAAAGAGTAATAAAACTCTATCCACCGTGTACCTTTAGATGCTTCGGTTGAGTCAACTTCACCTTTTTTCTTAGCAGTTTGATCAGCCATCGGGGTTAAATTCTCATCCTTGGAGGCTTTAGTAGCAGGGACCTGTGAGACTCAATTTTTCAGAAAGTTAAGAAAAAAGGGGCATTAAAGAAACTAGGGTAATTGGTGATGAGGGAGCTCAATAGACCTACAAACTACTTATGCTTTGGACCTACGTGCTCTAAGATCTCCACATACTGTTGTCTGTATAAACCTATGGCAATGAAACCACTGAGAAATAACAGCACACAACACCTGATAGTGCTCACAATTCTAAAGGACGAAGGCCATAATAAAAAGCCAGCTGAGAAATCAACGACTTTTGATATGCACAAGAGCCAGCTTTTTAACCGATTGAAGATGTAGATGTTACATAATAAGTTGAAAGGAAAATTTTTATTGGACCGAAATGTTTGCTCACGTTGAAGAAGTTATTTTATATTGCATAACGTGAGGTAAGCTTAAAATTTACGACTTGGAAATTGGGTGGTAGAGTTGCACGGTAAGAATTGTTAGCACCCATCATTATCTGCAAATGGCACAAGTGCAAGCCATATATAGCATGTTGGACAGCAGAATATTGTGCACCGATGAAGCATAAAATTATGTACTTCTCCATTTAGTATTTTTTATTATAATTGTTACATGAAACTTACCTATAAAAGGCCACTGATGTACAAGGTTATGGTATCAAACACAAACACTTTTCATAATGTTTATGAAACTAGCTAAAGACGAAACGGTTTTCTCATTTTCTCATTTTTAGACCTTTGGTATCCTAAAGTCATTTTAGATCTTGACTGATTCAAGTTGAGTTAGATAAATCCACTTATGGGGCTCATATTTTTTCATCGATAAGATTCAAAACTAAGACCTCAAAGTGTCCTGAAAGCTGTCTATTCTTAGCTAAATTAATTAATTGAGAATGGGTTTTAGCATACCTCTTCAGAAACTGGTGAGACCTGGGAGGTGGGATTTGCCTCCACCTTGGGAGTCTTGGGTTGGGAGGTGGGATTTGCCTCCGCCTTGGGAGTCTTGGGTTGGGAGGTGGGATTTGCCTCCACTTTGGGTGTCTTGGGTTCCTACACATGCTCATTAATTAGTTAAAAGGTTCATAAATGATAGAAAGCACAAAGAATTCCTAGGGTAAAAAAAGGATTCTGAATAGCAATTCCAGAGGCACACCTAAATCGCAGCGAAATGTATTATAGATTACCAATGAACTTAGAATCGCTCTCACCTCAGAATTGTCTTTCTCTCCCTCATCCTGAGACTCGCCTTTTTTTGAACATTTGTGAGCACCGTTCTGAACCATCTGCAATTCCACAAATTTTGGAATCCATGCATGGAACATAGATTATAAACTGAAATTATAAGTAAAGAAGCAAAGGAAAAAAGAGGCAAAATAAAAAAAGAATTGCAGGTCTACCCTCAATATTTCTGGATCCTTCCATGGGCCCTTATCAGATAGCATACAGCCTCCTTGATCAGCACATGTACAAGTACCTCCTAAAAATTCAGGCAACTCACTGCACAGTAAAACAAAGAAGCTTCTCAATAACCTTTACTCAGTGTTATAAGAAGACTTTAAGATGCATAAAGAAAACAAACGAGTGGGGAAAAAAGATCAAAAAGTATATGTGAATTAAGGAAAATCAGATGCTGAGATGTTCAATCTATTCACAAACTCACCTTGCATCAATTACTTCCAGCAATTTACTATCAAACTTGTTGCCAAGAACCTGAAAAATATAAGTTTCAGTGTCAGTTCTATTTGCCTGACAAACGAAGCAGTTCAGGATATGGTTTATATGCTCACATGGATTTTTGCTGTGGTTTTTGGGTCCAGGAAGGATTTTACGGTGTTCCACAGTATTCTAAATCCAGAACCTGCATTGATGATGAACATGCGATTCAAGGTCTGCAGTGAAGCAACCAATTTCATAATATTACTCAGTAATCCACCATATTCACAACAAAAAACATTTTCTTACTATAATTCTAACCAAAGTAGAATAAAAAAATATACCTCAGGATAGTTGTCACCGTCAATCTTCTGAAGGCGAGTAAGGAGTTCCCTAGCGTTTTTGTTGAAGCTTTTAAGCCCCTGTGGCATTGACACAATATTAAAATTTTAGCAAATTCTCATATTTTTCAATTTTTTTCTTTACTGTTGATATCGGGGTTTCTTTTGTGCCACTAAAATATTATCTCTTGGCTGTATAGTGTGAACCAAATAAAGATTGTACATTTTGTCACATTTTGCCAAGCCTCGTTCAATCATGGCAAATTAATAGTGCTATCCATGCTATACATTCTTACAATAATTTTCCACAACTCAGTTTTTTTTTACATTAATCTTATTTTACATTTTTTTTTTCGTTTTATTTCTCTTCTTATTATGAAAGGTGTTACCAAAAAGTATTGTGAGAATAATAATACTCTATTGATTAACTACTTCTCGTGCGTACGTACCACTCCTTGCACATCAAGGATAGTTGTACTTTGATCAATGTGCTTCTTTGCAGCAATCGAACAAGCTGCAAATTTGAGGTCGAATGTCCTCTCAAACTCCTTTACATGGTATTTGACATAGCGATCCATGGTTGTGACTTGCATAAGCTTGGTGGCATCGACTTGTCCCAATCTCTCAATGTACACGGGTCTTCCTTCTTTGTCAACTCCATGATTTCCTTGGGGGTAATATTTTAAGACTTCATCAAGTTCCTTGAATTCAAATTCCTAGTATAGAAGGGCACAAAAATGTAGCCAATATAAATGAAGCTAGTTAAGAGAAAAACTGCCAAAAAGGAAAAAATACTAGACAAAATTAACATTGTTTTTACAAGTACCTCAACAACAGTGTCAGCACCAAATTCCTTCCTCCATTTGAGCATTTCTGACCACATTTGTTTTGTTTTCTCAATATCGAATTTCCTGGCCTTTAAGAATCTATACAACAAAATACAAAAATAGTGTAACAAAAAAGTTTGAAGTTCTTTCTCTTTTAATCTACGTATGACATGACAGAGTATGCAATAACCATGCACGCAAATGTATCATAGACAAAGCATAGCAAGAAAAGTGACCTAAGCATCATATGATAATCATCATGTCTTGCAGGGAGCATCTCCTCTAATATAAGGGCTTGACGGAACTCATCAACTATTTTCAACTCCTCAGCATCGTGGACATCCTCAATTTCAACGGACATGACCTTGCTACTTCGCCTACCCTTTCTCGTCAACGATTCCCTCAGCATGTTTGAAGCATTGATTGCTTTCTTCTTGAAAGAACCTACAAATCACGATTTTCAAGAGCCTCTTCATAATAAAAAAGATAATAACAATAATAATAATTAACTGTATATTAAATTATAAATATCTTATTTAAGAAAGTTGGGCAAGTAATCGACATGAAATGAAAACGCCTAGCATACGATAAATAAGTTTACCTGATCTGGGGGACATAGGTCCAGACATGGTGGCGTTCGAGTTGATAGCTTCTGCTGGCTTTACAGGATGAAATACGAATCAAGCACTCATATCATAAAGGGCAGAAAACAAAGGCACTCCCAAATGCCCTGCCTGCACCCCACCAACCAATAATTCATTAGACACATTTATATATTTACTAGTGGAATCATTGTCCTACGCTGTATTATTATATCTACCAAAAAAGCCAAAAATATAAAGCATACCAACAAACAAAAATGTTACAACGAAAAGATATGTGATGAGATTTGCTTTATTTGTTAATTGTGAAAGGAAACGTAGGATTGCATGCGCAGAAGAAGAAGAAGAAGAAGAAAGATATGAAGGGAGATTATATCATTACCTCTTGAAAGAGCAGGGAAGCAGGGCGAAGGAAAGAGAGAGAGATTATGGAAGCGGGTTATATAAATCCGTAATCCTGAAAATAGTTAGTTTTAGAAAATGGGTTAGGACGGTGAGGCGCCATTGACAATGCTGACCAAGTCTCATCATCAAGACCGTGAATCTCTGCAATTCAGAAATAGCAAATAGGAAAAGATTAAGATATAACAGAGAGAGAGAGAGAGACAGAAGTAAGGGGTTTGGTTTTAGCGAAATGCAAGGTCATTCCATACATGTATATATATCATCGTCGTATCATGTGTCTGTCTCATATCACAATCTCTGTCTCCCTTTTGTTGACCGCCACGTGCTTCTTCCGTCATCTCACTGCCTACTGTAGTAATAAAATACCATTTCTTTTTTTGCATTTCTGATGAAGTTTTAGAAAGGAAACTATATTACACTTCCTAGTCATTAATTGCCTTAATCTTCTGTGTTTATTATCTCATTATTATATTATTTATTGTATTGGCATTAAATTAACGTTACAGTTCTACTTCTTTTTTTTAATGAAAAACTCAAGGGCCGTGGAATTGTTTTATCTGAAGATTAAGTTTATTAATGTAATTATGTTAACTATTTGAATAAAAAAAATTGTTATACATAATAATATTATCTGTTTTAAACAAGATTGTATTTATTAAACAATATTTGTGGGTTAATATATATATATATATATATATATATAAATAAATTAAATATTTTTTATATGCTAAATAAAATTATTTAATAAAGTGTCAAATAATTTATTTTTTGTACATAATTTATATGATTCTATAAATTTAATTTATTTAGTAAAAATATTTACGGAGCATTTGGTAGGAAGATTTTTTAAGTTTGTTTTTTCTTTTGTATAATCTTAGATTAGAATATTAAATTTTTATATTGGTATTAAGACAAAAGAAAAGGTTTTAAAAAAAAACTTACATTTCTAAGAATATTTCTTTAAAATCATTTTTCCAATAAAACATTCTTGTTGAAGGAATAAAAATCTAAAAATTTTATGGAGAAAAAAATTTTATCATATAAAAATATAATTAAACTCCTTTTAGATTGAGTGGTGATGACTTAGTGCTCTGGAATAGAATTAGCAATGAAATATTTACAATTAAGTTTGTTTATAATTTACTCTTTAATTTTGACCTGATTCTTAAGTATACCAAAAAAAAAAATTAAGCTCATATGGAACGAGAATGATTTCCCTAAACTTTATCTTTTTTTCTGGAAAGTGGCCCATGAAAAAATATTATTAATGAGGAGAGATGCAAATGTAATATGACTGATTCTTCTACCTATGTAAGATGTGAAGAGGCTCTTGAGATCCTAATGCATGTACTTAGAGACTATTTTTGTGCCAAATCAATGTAGAACCACTTTATATTTTTATGCAACAGTGGGTGACTTTTTTCAATAAAGGTGTTTTAGATTGGTTGAATTTTAATTTATCTAGTCTAAATCAAAGTCTCATTACTTATTGAAGAAAACTCTTTGTGATTATTATTTGAAATTTCTAAAAGAATAAAAATTCCTTAGTATTTCAGAACAGTTCCATCAGTGCAATGAGATGTTTATTTATCTATCTCGTAACTCAAAATGGGAGTAGGTTTGAAAAATGATCTTATAGTGTCTAGGGTTGGGTAAGGAGGGTCTCTTTGTCAAGCTAGAGATTTATCATTGAGTAATCTATAATATTTTATACTTGTTCAATGTTAATTGAAGGATTATTTAGTATTAGAATAGATTTAGATGGAGTTTGAAATTATTTATAAAAAAAAGAAAAAAAAAGTGAACAGTACCGTATGAACAGTGTCAGATGAACAGTAAAACCGCCTATGAATAGTGCAAACCGCGTACAAATCGCGTATGAACAGTGAAAACCGCGTATGTACAGTGACTGCTGACGTCATCAGTGACGTCACATACGCGTACAGTATTTTCTGGCGTGAATAGTGTCCTGAACAGTATTTCCGGCAGTGAACAGTAAATTCGGCGGTGAACAGTAAATTTCAAAAAATTTCTATAAAAAAGGGGCTTCACACGAAATTTTCATTTCTTCACCCCTATCCAAGGTTCTCAAAGGTTCTAAGGCTAAATTCCACCATTTCTCTCATACTAAACCTTCCTAAACTTAAATTTCTCGCCAGATCTGAGATTCTACGTCTATTCTGAAGAATTTGAAGTAAGTTTCTTTAAGTTTGAAGCTAGATTTACCGTTCGTTTCTCTTCTCCTTCTCTTTCTCATAGAAGTTCATGGTGTTTTTAGGAGAAACTTCGTTCTAAAGCCGAATCTTCGGTGAATCTTGCATTAAAACAAGTAATATTCGGTAGATCTAGTGTGAATCATCTTTCTGAGGTAAAGAGAGTTTACTTTAACCTATGAACTACGTTTTGAATGGTTTAATATGCTATTTCAAGATGTTTTAATATGATTTTGTTAGATCTTTTGAATAAAAGCTATTTTCTAAGCTGTAACTGCTGTTAATTGATTTAAAATGCTGAGATTTTGGCTGATCTACTATAAACTTGCCTTAATTGAGCTGTTAAAATAATTTTGGCGGTGTGCATCATGCTAAGATATGTTTTGCATCATTATAGAGCCGAGTTACATGTTTAGGTGGGTAGACATGTAACGGTAAGTTCATGCTGAGCTGCTGTGCTGTGCTGTCTGGATCCAGATATCGGAATGGGTCACTCCCGGACCGGCTCGGTTCCTTCTAGATTACTTAGACTGTGAAACCAGTTGGAAACCGTTTTCATGCTGTGCATTAGATGGGCTGGAAATGCATGAGATTATTGCTGTGAGAAATATTTTGCTCTATATATATGATTTTATTTTAAGTTTGGTAAGCTCACCCTTGCATTTCTTTCTATGTTGTTATGTGCGTGTGTACTGCGATGATCGTACGGTGGTACGTGAGCAGATGTAGCAGGTGTTGCATCTACTTCACAGGCTGAGGGGCCAGTGAAGAAATGTTAGAAGCTGGGGTCAAGTAATATTGCATCAAAGTCCTTTATCCCTTATATTTTGAGACCTCATGTAGAGGGAGTTACGTAGTATAATTTTGTGTATTTGGAATATTATGAACTAAACGTAATATTGTGTTGTTTTATTGGATATTTGTTGTAAGAAACTCTGTTTTATTTTGAATGAGAAGAGAATTTCATATTTATATTATCTATACTTTATTTATTTTAAATAAGTTTGTGATGTAGAAACAATGTTCTCGGTTCCTTATAAAAGGGGTCGTGACACTCTTAATATCTTTTTTTATTTATTTTTTTCTAGTTAGAGTTATTTCACAAAGACTTGTCGTAGTAAGGAAAAAGGGAGAACAAACATACTTGGAGAGTGCAGTACAACGAATAGTTGTATGTTGCGTTTGAGAAGAATGAATCGCTTTCAAAAAGGAATCTATTGATTCTCTCCCAATCGGTTAGACTTTAGGTGCATTGTTTAAGTTGATCTAGAACATTAGGAACGGTCTAAGCTCCATCAAATGTATCAAGCTTATTCATATTTGTAGAAAAGCCAATACTTATGCTGACAACCTAGCTAAGACTGAATTAAAAGATTATTTGTATCTCTCTCCTTTTGAGTCTGTCCCACATAATCTCATCCCCTTCCTCTACTCCCTTGGTACAGGACCCTGAAAACTCTACGTAATTTTATTGATTTGGGCTTTTAGCCTCTTTTTATAGCAAAAATAAAATAAAATGTTATTGTTACATTGGGAATGAAGTTTCATAACTCCCATCACTCTTATTAATTAATTTAGGATAAAGTACTTATATATTTTTTACACTCATTTTCATATTATAAGTGTTTTATATTACTTCCTTTCATTTTAGATATTAATTCATATTTAAATTGTCTTTAGTAAAAAATACATGCAGTTTAAACAAAAAATTAAGTATTAGTTAATATTATAAATAAAATTTATTAATTAAATAGAAAGTAAAAAAAATGTTTCAAAAAAATATTTATATTCATAAAAATAATATTTTAAAAAATATGATATCAAAATATTTCTAAT